ACCTTTTTGAAGTCTGTAAGAGACCAGACACTTGATCAACAATGCACCGTCACTCGACCAGGTGTAGCCACGATAGCGTCGGCCTTGGCGGTTGAGCTGCTCATTTCACTTCTACAGCACCCTCAAGGTGCTGCGGCCCCAGCTGCTTCGCCAAACGATGACCGTGGTTCTCACCCTCTTGGTCTGGTGCCACACCAGATCAGGGGATTTCTTTCGTCTTTCGAAAATATTTCGGTGATAGGACGAAGCTATGACTGTTGTAGCGCCTGTTCCATGAACGTCATCAAGGCATACGATGAGCAGGGCTGGGATTTTGTGGTAAAAGCCTTGAACGAGCCCGGATATCTGGAGGAGTTGAGTGGTCTTAGGGAGGTCAGTCACAAGAAGCCTCTTTTAACACACCCTCTATTCCTCGTCTTGCATTTCCCCGGTCCGCGCAAATCACCCACCCCTGACCCAGAGATCTCTCGGACTGGCCATCAACAAGGCGATTTCTGTTGAGATGAATGGCTGACACAACAGAAGGTCCAAGCAAGAGCAGAAGAAACGATAGATGATATCGAGTGGGACGAGTCGCTTGAGAACGAGGAGATCATCTAGGAATTCGGTGATCCGATACCAAGTGCGCATCGCGGGGCAGGGGAAGGAGATAAGAGCTACATCTGGCTGGCGGGCTTTGATTTAGGACTGCATGAGGACCTCATTCTTCGACGCGTTGTTCCTTCTGTCGAGGCCAACAAAGTACGCTTCCCTTGATTCCTGCGCAAGTTAGTGCGTGATGACGATAGCAATACTCGATATATCCGGCGCGTACGTTGCGTGAAGACTCTGGCTTGATCCTGTGCACTCTATGGAAGAGTGCTTTGAACTGTCTCTCTAGTTCTTTGTCCTCGACCCCTTGATAAAATTTGCAAATGAGATGACCTCCAGTCCTTAAGGTGTCGAAGCTGAATTGCAGTGCGGCACGGCAGAGGTCCTATTAAGTCAGTCAAATATGTACGATAAGTATGAGGATATTTTGTTGGAGTACCATGCTGCCGGCGTGATCTCGAAAATTCACGCCGCTTGTGTTCATCATCCTATTATAAGGGTCACTTAGACTTCGCTTCCAGAAGCCGGTGGTTTGGAACCAGGGAGCACACATATCGCTTAAAACCACATCTACTGTTCTCTCCGACGCGACATCACTTTGGGGAAGATTGCCCGTATTTGTTCCGATGCACTTGCTCTTATGCTCCAGGCTCGCGGCCGAACTCAAGGTCGTATTATTGTGTTCGTCTCCGTCCCATGGACCAGGGGAACGCGGCCTGCCTCTACAAGGATCGCGGAGGAACTCACGAACGTAAGCCTGAATATCTGGGGCAAGGAAGTTGCCCTGTATGGTAGAGACGCCTCTGGGGGGCTGTGCTGGGATTATGTCTACGCCCAGGACTCGACCGTTCGGTTGAGTTCGAGTCGCTGCCACCTGAGAGCGTTAGATGGATATCAAAATTGGTGCGAGATCAAACAGACCTGAGACCAGGAGCCGGGGGCGTATCCCTTATGAGATTATCAGAGGTCAGCCTTAATGCCCAGACATAGAAGTGAAAGGGGCGGTATACCAGATCCACTACTGTTTGCCCACTCTTGAAAATGTGATATTTCTCATCGATCTAAAATTACCTGTGTTTAGCATACAGGGAACAGTAAAGCACGAGTAATCCATACCTGCAATAATTTGAATGCTGCACGGCTCTTCAAGCCTTGTACTGCCGCAGCCCTTGTGAAATGGTCTTTGAACTGACGTGCTTGCCATCTCTTCGAGGATGAATGTCTCTTGAATATGAGGAGAGACGTTATATCATTGATCTCGAGTCTTAGAATCTTGGTTGGGCGGGACAAAAAGAACATGATGTTGGGATCGTTCACTGTGAAGTACCCAATTTGATTGGTGTCTGCGGGAAATTTTGGATGGGGGATCTCGTCAATGTATTATTGGATTGAGCCGTCCTTGATTATTAGTTGTGATACAATATAGATACTGCAACTCTAGCCCTTCCCGATGATGGAAGTGACGAGGGAAGGAAAAGAAAAAGTAACAGTAGAAAAACTGTGTAGATGGTATACCTCTAATAGGCAGTGCCTTAGTAGTTGTGTTCAAAGAATGTAGGACACTTTAAGATACTGTAGTAACAGTTGTCATGTGAAAATCCTGGATAAGGGAGGAGGAGCTCAATATTGAGTAATCCATCAACAACAATGATAGTTAGTAATAATGATTGGTCTTGTCCATGTCAGAGGGTTTTAATAACTAACCCTGGGGTATAGGTAGGTATCATATCACACCCTATTTCCTTTCATTAAAGATATGCTGTTCCCTCTTTGAACCAAGTGTTAATTAATTGACACCAAACAGCTGCAATATTGGAGCTACGCATTGCAGACAGATCGGGGTGTAAAGGGTACAACTCCCCTGGACATAGCTCAACTAGGTTTCTTGCTTTTGATGCATGTAGTCAACCCCATACACCTTGAGTAACACAGCGACTAGTCTAATTATTGTTCCTCATATCAATCTGGGATTTACGTTGTGGTTTGATACATAGGTGGCGAGCTTTTACTTTCAATAAATGACATTCTGAAGTCAAGCAGTTCATGAGATATGAATGAGAGCTATTGGTCAACCCCTCAGGTCACTGCACTTGATGAAACAAATGCTGGCCAGCGTCTCATGCAAGTCCATTGAACCAGATATCGAAACCTCTCCAACGTGAAACATGAATCCTGTCATGAAAGAGGAACGCAGGTAAACGACGAAGTACAGCACTACTAAAATCAAGGTCTACCGCTATGGATGAACATTACATTTCTTCAAGGTTTCCCACTGCCTATATTCTCTTTCTGTCTCGCTTTAACGGGGAGAATCCCGTAGGGGCACCAAAACCTCGGCCATGCATTATACTGGATTGGGCAGTTAACTGTATTTCGTCTCGGGAAGTTCGTCCAGGACCAGGAGCAAGTTTACGCCCTGGCTTTCTGATGCCCTGGTTGTCCGGGTCTTCTTCATCCTCAAACAAGTTCCTATCTCGCTGGAATCCCAATTTACGCCTCTTCAACTTCATCTGACCATGACCAGACGCCCTGTTCTTTTGAACATCGTCATCCTCTGCATGGTTTTCGACATCAGTCTGTGGGGAGCGTGACCTGGACGATATTGCTCTGGCCATTTTGGACTTGGTACCAATATGGACGGATAGTTTCGACCGCTTTGAAGACGGTGCCCCATTAGACAACAGCTCGTCTTCTTGCTGTGGACTGCTGATAGTTGCATTCTCAGCGAAACTCACTTTGTCACTGGAAACTTTCCCAGGCGTCCCCGCGCACACAGGGACCGTGTGTAGCTCATTTAAATCGTCATCAGAACTAACCGAGGGATTTCGAGGTTCACTCGCGCGTTTCAAAAATGGAGTAATCGAGAAAGACGATTTATCACCAGGCAAAGCTGTTGGTTGCTTGATGCCTTTATTCCAAGGCTTGACCGCTCCTGGCGTAGCAATGGTCAGTGCGGGAACAAATTGGGTGCCCGTTGTTCGATTAGGAGGAGCACGAGATTTTGCATGGGGCTCAGGGCTTTCAGTTGCTTTGAGATTATTACGGCGCTGTTGACCATTACTCTGAGCTTCTTGGAGTTGATCTTTGACTTGCCGCAATTTCCGATTGAGATCTTCGATCCTTTCTTCAAGAGCTGCGCGATGAGCTTCGCTTTCATGTTTTTGCTGACGAGCACTGCGCTCTTGTCGTTCTCGAGCTTGTATTTGCTCTGTGAGTTCCTTACGTGCTTCCTCAAGTCTCGAAGACAAATTGGCAATTTCCCCTGCCTGACGAGTCTCTCGGGACTGAGCACGTTCGTGGGCGCGCTTTTCTTTTTCCAATTGCTCCTCGACCGTAATCAGCTGGCGCTTCAATGCCTGTTTTTCGGCGACGGTATTCTGGGAAGAGATGCTTTGTACTCTAAACCGCTCCGCTTCTAATTGCGAGTTGGAAAGTTCTTTCGATAGGCGAATATTCTCGTCTACTAATCTCTTAGATTCAACGGCAGTCTTGCCCAGCGAAGCAAGTTCGCCCTATCCTAAAAGTTAGAGGTGATATTCCACCAGGGCAAGGTATAATGGCAACATACACGAAGATTCTCTATTTCATGTGACGAGGCAGCGAGTATATTCTTTAAGCGATTCACTTCATTGAGGGTTTTATTGAATTGGACGCGTAGGCACGATTCAGATTCTCTGGCTCTGACTAATTCTTCGCTGGTCTCCTCTAGCTGCAAGTGTAGGCTGTCATTTTCGAACTGGAGAAGTAATTGCTCCATACGTATCTCCCGACCTCGCTCGATTTCTAGAGCAAGCGTTGTCCGCCCCACTGCTCGCTCATATTCTTGCTCATAGTGGGCTGTGGTAAGTGCCATTCGGCACTGAGGGACTGGGTAAGTTTCAACTTGCATCTCGGAGTCGTAGAGCATACATACATCATCAAAACCTGGTGCTGACATTTGGACGAGAGAATTCGGTCTTGGCTTGCAAAGGAGATCAACAACAACTAAGTATAGCGAAATTGAGTCGTTAAGACTGAATTATTGCGGCATGAAGTCTAGTTCGCCTGGGATCCGTGGTCATGTCTAAGAAAGCAGCCTGAAGTACGGGAATAGCCAACGTAAGGTGCCGACCTTACCTCGCTATTGTTTGCGGCAGTGGCCGACACGCGTCTTACAACTTCCAACGGAAAAATTAGCTCGGCAGCTCCCGAAGTTGTGGACACCTGGACTCTCCAGGTTGCACTAAAGCGATTGCGTAGCTATTGATTGCTACCATACATCAACTCCGTTCGAAATACCTCCTACACAGACATCGGATAATGACCGACGATACTTGCGGATCGTTCATCCACTGTGTTTTTCAGTATTTCTTCACATCCGAGCTCAACAGTGCATCTTAAATGAGCCATTCTTCCAGACCCTGGAGAAAATGAAACTCAATTTTCTTATCTCTTTCCTTTACATTGCGACGAGTGCGCTTTGTACGTCCTCAGACCCTGATAAGTACGAGAAATACAGATCAGTCTCTCGTGTCGCGCCGATTGAATTGACAGACGTTACATATGATGATTTGACCTCAAAGCCTCGTGACTTTCACGTCGCGGTTCTTCTGACAGCTACTGACGCTCGCTATGGTTGCGTCCTATGTCGCGAGTTCCAATCCGAGTGGGACCTCATTGCACGAAGTTGGAATAAGGGCTCTAAGTCAGACGATCTTAAACTGCTCCTCGCTACTCTGGATTTCAGTAATGGCAAGGAGACCTTCCAGAAGGTATATGAATGATCTTTCTTCCTGAACCCTCGATGTATTGTTCAGCTGATCTAATGAGGTAAAAGCTGATGCTTCAAACTGCGCCTGTCCTTCTCTTGCATCCTCCCACTGTCGGCCCCTTTGCCAAGGTTGACAATGCACCCGTAAGATTCGACTTCACTGGGTAAGAGTCTCTTGGGTCTGCCACACGAGTTCTCTGTGTTGATAAAAGACGTCTAGCCCAATATCTGCCGACCAACTCTACACATGGATCAGCCGACATCTCCCGGAAGGCTCAAAACCACCTCTCATCCGCCCCATCAATTACATGCGAATTATCTCTGCAATCACCATCCTTATGGGCGTGATAACTTTGTTCACGGTTTTGTCTCCGTACGCCTTGCCGATCATAAGGAACCGAAATCTCTGGGCCGGCTTTAGCCTGATTGCTATCTTGCTGTTCACCAGTGGCCACATGTTCAATCATATCCGCAAAGTACCTTATGTTGTAGGTGATGGCAAGGGAGGCATTAGCTATTTTGCTGGTGGATTCTCTAACCAGTTCGGCATGGAAACCCAGATTGTCGCTGCCATTTGTAAGTCATTCACATTTCCGAGACACGACCCTGCCCACACACATACTGATGATTCACTGTGATTGCAGACGCTGTTCTATCCTTTGCAGCGATTGCTCTTTCCATGAAGGTCCCTCGCATGGCGGACAAGAAGGCACAGCAACTGGCCGTCGTAATCTGGGCAGGCGTACTGCTCTGTATGTACAGCTTCCTCCTCAACGTCTTCAAGACGAAGAATGGCGGATATCCTTTCTATCTCCCTCCTTTTTAAATTCAGACATCGCCAAGGGTTAATCCTGGTCCTTCCACCTGATAGTGCGATATCCTTAAAGCAAAAGAGCCCGATCCAGGTGTAGCAAGTCACCTGCTGAGGCCTTCTTTCGCGGATAGGTTCGTGAACTGGACTTTCTCCTTCATGGTGTTTCCGGGCTCTTGAACGCCTATCTACTCGGCATCAGCCTGCACTGCAACTAGGCGAAGGAGCTCGTGGTTTCCCCCTTCCTCAAAATCTCAGCGACCTTAGTCTTCACAGTCAGGGTACCATTGTAATACAGAAGAGTCCGTTTTTTGACAGATAGAAAAAGACCATTCAATGGATAGATGACATGATAGTCTGCAATATGAAACAATAATCCTAGAACGCAAGAAAGCAAAACATCTTAGATCAACACAGTCACAAAGATCTATTCAGCAAGTACATGGATAGATACGCTAGGAGCTTTTTCATCTTTATTTCAGGCACGTGAATCCTGGTAAAGTCACACTATGAAATGTGCAGGTCAGAGTGTTTGCAGCCGTGATGTCCTCTAGATACGCGGACCCAGTGTGGTTCGCCCTACTGCGGCCGCGGCCGCGGCTGCGGCTAGTTAAGAGGACAACATCACACCCGATATCTTGAGCCTGCTCAGCACCGTGTGCCTGAAGAAGTAAGTCATTTCTGAAGACATAAGACTGCAGCTTTTGTCTCATGTCATACTTCTACGTATCAGGATTGTATTTCAACCTTCGTCATCCTCATAATCGGTACCAGCTCGATAATACTTGAAGATTAAAAAAGCTCATGAGACGTGCAGAAAGCATGCCACTATGTCCAAGCCAGACAAACTTCGCACTAGAAGAGCTATGGCATCATCGGTGTCGGGGACTACGCTTTTGGTCATGATCCAGCTGGTTTCTCGACTGTTCACCTTTGTTGCCAATCAGTTGGTCCTGAGGAACCTATCACCAGCGACTCTGGGAGCAGCAACTCAACTCGAGTTGTTCATGGTTACGATCTTATATTTCTCTCGGGAGGCCATCAGATTAGCCATTCAGAGACAGCCTCTAGATTCGCTTTCATTCCTCGACATCAGCAAACAAGAGAAGTCGCGCATAGCTTGCGACAAGAAAACTGATGCTCAATCTATGGCGACTCAATCAATAGTGAACATGTCCTACCTCAGCCTTGGAATTGGAATCGCATTGTCTATCTTGCTCGGTAATTCCTACATACAGTTTGCTGCTGAGCAGGTTGCTCAAACGTCTTTCTATCGCAGCAGTGTGGCAATCGTCTGTCTCGCGTCGACCTTAGAGCTATGCACTGAACCTTTCTTTGCTGTAGTTCACAGATACATGCTGTACAAGACTAGGGCAACCGTTGAAATGGCAGCGGCATTTGTAAAGAGTCTAACAACGTGTGGCCTATTTATCTGGGCGTCTTGGAATGGAAACAATGTCGGTATACTTCCATTTGCACTTGGTCATCTGTCTTATGCCTTGGTCCTTCTCTGTGGCTACTCTGCAGTTCTGTCAAACGCAGCGAGTAGATGGCATTTTTCGTTTCTGCCCACTCGCATAAGAACAAGGTATGTGGAGGCAATTCCTATCGAATAGGACTCAGCCGTGATAACAAGTCCAAGGGATAAGTCCGTTTATGTCCTGGGCATGTTTTCGTCCCAGTTGATCTCTCTATCTGCAAATCTCTTCTTCCAATCTGTGGTCAAGCATTTGCTCACGCAAGGGGACGCCATGATGCTCGCCGCAATGTCGAGCTTGGAAGATCAAGGGATATATTTCCTCGCTTCTAACTATGGTGGTCTTATAGCTCGCATCGTTTTTCAGCCAATTGAGGAGAGCTCTCGCACGCTCTTTTCGTCACTGCTGGGTCTCAGTGACTCAAACGGAGAAGAATCAAGCAACGTAGGCGCTGCTAAGACGCATCTTACCGATGTCATGAAAGCGTACGGGATTCTATCTGCTCTCATCTTTCCTTTGAACCCCATCATAATTAAGCAGATACTTCACCTATTGGGTGGTACAGAATGGTCTGGTTTTGAAGTCTATCACCTACTTTCTCTTTATTGCTTCTATATACCTTTCTTGGCATTCAATGGTATAGCAGAGGCCTTTGTCTCATCTGCTGCTAATGGGTCGGAGCTTCGATCACAGGCGGGCTGGATGGGGGTTTTCTCAGCATGCTTTGCGTTAGCGGCCTACCTTTTCTTGAGAATTGGCGACCTCGGCGCTCGTGGCTTGGTGTACGCTAATATGGTCAACATGACAGTGCGCATACTTTGGAGTCTAAATTTCATACGAAAGTATATGCACAGTCATGACAACGACATAACGTTGACCGAGTTCAGCTTGAGTCCTTATACCTATATTGTTGGCTTTCTAATGACCACAATCACAATACTCGGGCCAGAGCTGTTCCACAACGATATTCATGGTCTGATACAGGCGGCAGGTTTTTGCGCCTCCTATGCCATTCTAGTGTGAGTTACCCGTTGGACAAGACTTGAATGAGCTCTGACGGCCGTCTATGATAGTCTATATTTGGAGAGAACGTATTTGAGGGGATTGTACAACCAGGTTTGTCAAACTTGGAAGCAGGACACCTCACACCGCAAGACAAAGTAAAACGAGTTCACTCGTCGAAAACGATCTTTGTCGCTGGTTTGCTGGTATCCACATCCTTGAAGAATGCACCGTACGCACCATGCTGCTTCTTCTTCACGGTTGTTCCGAACTTTAGCAAAGCGTCCGGTACTTCTTGTTTAGCTGCTCTCAGAACGTTTATCAACCTATGACAAATTAGGAAGGTAACCACATTAGCAGCCTACTCAAATACATAGGCTGATTGACGGTTTTGAGAACTTACGCGCCAGACTGAGCTTTATCCGTTTCTGTGAAGAGAGTAATTGCATGGCCATCGGCTCCAGCGCGCCCCGTTCTAATCAAAACTCGAATTAAACACATGTCAGCCGAGAGAGAATATCCTTACTTACCTCCCAATTCGATGTACATAATCCTCGACCGTTAGAGGAAAAGTGACATTGATAACCAATTTGACTAACGGTATGTCAAGGCCACGAGCTGCCACGTCGGTGGCAACAAGTACAGTAGCCGCCCCGGTTTTGAATGCCTCCAGACTTTTGAATCTTTCGTGCTGGTTCAAGTCTCCATGTATCCCTGCGACTTTGAAGTTCTTGGTTCGTAAAAGTCTCTCGACACGAACTGCTTCTTTCTTGTACAAGCAAAAGACAAGAACCTTATCGGAAACTGCTGCGCCTCGCTGAGAGTGACTGAGCAACTGCACAAGTCTAGCCTCCTTCTCCTGAGGCTTCACAACCTCAACCACCTGTTTAATCCTGGTATTAGCACGCGGATCGGCGGAAGGATCACCACCAATGGTGACAGTCACAGCTGAAGTCATGAAAGTAGCCGCCAGGTCTCTGACGCTCGGAGGCCAAGTTGCAGTGAACATAACGGTTTGGCGTTTTGAATTTGGCATGGATCGGATGATGTCTTTTATATCCTGTTCAAATCCCTTGTCTAGCATGCGATCCGCCTCGTCCAAGACTAGGTATTTGACCTTTCCAAGATCCACGGAGCCATCGTTTTGAAGATCTTTTAGTCTACCAGGGGTGGCAACAACGATAGCTGCAGTCTTCAGGGCCTCGCGTTGTTCGTCTTTCTTCACACCCCCATAGATGCATGTTACTCTGATGTCCACAGAGGCCCCAAACTTCGAGAGTTGATCATATATTTGCATTGCAAGCTCCCTGGTTGGAGAAATGATGACCGCTGCAGGTCGTGCATGTTTTCGCTTGACCTTTCCTGAATCCAGAATTTTCTTAATACATGGCAAGCCGAAAGCCAATGTCTTCCCGCTTCCGGTCTCTGCAATGCCTATGACATCCCGACCAGCGAAGAGTAGGGGCCATGTGGCAGATTGAATAGGTGTCGGCGATGAGAAAGAGCTCAATGGGTCATAAATCTTGCTGAAGCTGCTGGGGAGGTGGGAAAACGAAATTATGGGGCGAAGCGCCTGTGCTTCCGAAGAATCGGTCACTTTAATGCAATGCTTCGCGAGAAACTGGTCTATCTCAATCTGAGAAAGATCACCTAGGGCTGGTGACTGGACGTAAGTAGCATCTGGTATAGGACCAAGTTCATTTCCAATAGCTTCAGCAGACGAGATCTTCGATTCTTCTCCATTTCTTTCATTCTTGGATCGCTTTTTGGGTCGGTAATCGCCACCTTCGCGGTGGACACGCTTGGTCATGGTCAGTATCTGTTGTAGTCTGATCTTTCCTCAGTTCTGAAACCTGGGGCTAAGAAAAGACAGATAGAGAATCGACAGATATGGGAGATAGAAGACCAAAGTGATGAATGTAAAACTGAGCGTAATTGAATGAGACACGGGATCAAGAGACGCTGTGTGTGGGAAGGGGGGAAAAAATTATAATAAACTTGTCACTACGAATAAAATTGAGACAATTTTATTCTGCCAATCGACGCCGCCAATATGTCACTGCAATAGTTTTATCACTGTACGGAGTAACGCCCCACTCAGAGCCTCTCCGCCGGGGCCTACCTCTTTACATACTACAAGAACTCAAGTATACCTATGAGTGGGCTATATAGTCCACTAACCGAAGACTGCTGTAATTCTTGTGTTATCGTTAAGGGGGACATCAAAGAAGAAAGGCATGTGATTACGGGAACAGGGCTCCCCAACTGACACAAAAGTAGTCATCTTCGTAGTACACAGTACACGGCTGATCGTCATGAAGAATATTACCTAGAAATGGCAGCTTAGTAACTTCGTCCCGATTTCATACCCTCGTATGCATTACCCTTCCCGATTACCCAGCACATACGTGATATGCGAGACCTTGCAAACCTCTAACCAAGGAGTCGAGTCATAATCTCCTGGAATCAAGCGGAACGACGCTGTACACTCATACACAGACAAACGTCTATAAAGCTAAAATCGTACGTAACCTCTCAAGCCCCAGAAGGATCGAACTCGGCCGGGAAAGGCAAGTTCACCATCAATCCAAGGGATATCAAGAAAGGCCATATGAATTAATCAGAGCCATGAGGCGAGATGCTTCTTCCGAGTAGTTGACAGGTTTGGCCGTCGATACCTGATAACGGATTCTAATTAAATGTCATTAGCGGTAGGTTCAATATTGGTAACTAAATAGCAGATGCATACCGTTGCTGATCTCCGAAATGATCAAGCTTAGCCCGACATCTGAAGTTCCAAGTTCGGCAATTAGCTTCCTGGAAGATGTCTCCAGCTGCCTTTTCTCCATTTTGGCGAAGATCCATCAAGTGATCCGCAGACGTGCCCATTAACTGTTTCCCGACCTCATCAAAGCAACTGAGCCAGAGCTGGCCAGTATGGTCGCTAACATTGATGAGCATGATGTATCGATACTCTGGACGTGGGTGAGTTTTATCACAGCTTTCGCACCGCCATTGGCCAGGATCAAGTTCTGTCACTTTTTTGTTGCACCCCTCGGAGAGGCAAGCAGGGTAGCACATGTTGTCTTGCTTTATGTAGATAACAGTCCCTTTGAGCGAGAAGTAGACTGCATCTTCTGACATCCCCAGTTGTTCCTCGCGTATCTGTGCGATTGTTTTCAAGTGATCCAATCTCATTGCAGATGAGGATGCATTGGACATTGTGGCATGTGACGTGAATGTCTCGTGTCTGCCTTGAGCATCATACCAACCCTTAAGACGATGAGCTTCTTCTATGTCAGGGTCAACAGTCATTGAGCCAGAACTCAACAAACTGAGACTTCGTCCTCCAAAATCAGATACTTTGACACCCTTGAAAGCAATTACAGACTCTGGCATGGCATTGAAGTTCAATGCTGTGGAGCCCCAGATGGTTAGACGAACAGAAAACCCTGAGCTGTCGACCAAGGTAAGCTCTCGCTTGTCATAGGGCTTGCTCGTCGTCTTTGATACGATTTGAGTAGTCTCCCCGACTTCTTTCAGCACTCCAATAATGTCAATGGTGGTATCCTTCTCAACAGACTGTAGATCGCCCACGGTTGTGAAATTGAACCGAATTTGCGGAACATCGCTCTGATCCTCTGCCTAAACCAAAAATGTAAGCCTATCAGTTGCAACTGCGCTTGAGAAATTCACTGACCTTTTCAACAACTGTATCTTTCTCAAAAGTGAGTTCGTAGTCATTGTTCAGATTAGTGAATTGCTTCTTGGCAATCTGAACCCGGCAGGGGCTAGATATATAGTACACGCTTCCTTCATGAAAAACATCATAGAGCTGGTCGCACTGCTCATTGAATCCAGTGGCACGGATTTCACCACTATCATCGAGTAAGTTGACACTAAAGAGCCTACCCTCCGAGTTTCTGTTGTGCCAGGTTTTGATTGCTGATTTGCTCGTGCAACGCGCCTTGATCGTCCATTTATGTGAATAAGGAGAGATAGCTTCGATCGGATAGATGGTGGCATGGGTCGATGTCAAAGAGGAACGTGCAGGCTGCACGCGAGGTTCCCCTCGCTGATTTTGAACCTTGGAGCCATAAAATCCACCGCTGGAGATTGTAGTGGGTTGGGGCTTTTCGTCCTCTTCCAACTTATTTTCCAATGGTTTTGGTTCTCCGATTTTCTCCGCTTCGCCGAGTTCCTGCAAGACTTCGAGATCCAAGATTATGAGAATTCTATGATGATATTAGCCGCGTGTATAATTTGGGGTTTCCGGATCCACAACTTTTTCCCCTTGACAGAATTTGCCTGAAATGACTTCAAACGGACAAAACACCCCTTCCTTAGCACGCCACTCGTTACCAGTGGATTCGCTTCTGTCATACAACGTGTTAATTAGTAATAGATGGCAATTCGTCCCAGTCCTCTCTACTCACGTGTTGCAAGCATGGTCTGAACATAATTCGAGATATCACTGAACACAGCTCTGTACCGCTCCTGATGGTTTGGTTGGGGAGGCAAAGGCTTAATCTGAACACATTGGACGATAGGTTCATGGATTTGGGGTTTGGTTTCATCAAAGATGGCGCTGCAAACCTATCAGTAAATCCTTGTCGTAGCTAATATGCCAGCCCAGGAAAGGAGAAAGGATGATCGCCTGGCAAGGACAAGATAAAAGAGCTCGCGTTACCTGAGCGCCCCGACTGAGATCTGAGATGCTGCATCGAGAGCCATCGCGCGAGCAAATGTTGCTGGATTGCTCGTAACCAGATGGTAAAACGATAATATATGAAAATTTGTGCAAGTATCTTGGTAGCTGGCTTGTGGATGGGGGGAAAAAGAGAACAGGGATACGAGTATAGGTCACTTTTCAAGCTAATATTCGTCTTCCTGAAGCAGATGGCAGAAGAAGTAAGAAGCTATTAAGGATAAATGTGTGAAAACACTTTTTGCAATAGGTATTGGTCTAACGCGTGCTATTTCGTGTAAAACATCCCTGACGCGTTGAGTGGCTACTAGGTAGGCGGTAAGGTATGGTCCAATCACTTCCCTATCTGGTAGGACCCGCTGCGAGGTGCCCTGTAGCCTGTTAGGTTGTAGCCTAGGTAGTACCAACGGGCACCTTGAGATACCTAGTTGGTGCATGGTAAGGAACTTGCCTAGGAAGTCAATCAAAACAGCATTATTATGGGGTATTAATTACACTAGTTGCAGCTTAGGTTAACTACCTTAGCACTTAGCAATGGTTACATCTCCATAGGGAAGAGACCTACCTAGGCATGCGCCTTCGTACTCCTTTTAAGGTACATTCTCTGCGGAGCTTACTGACAGGCAGAGGCTAAATTCTAGGTAATAAACAGCTAAGGTAAGAACTACCTGTACTCAGCAGTCCTTTTTGGGAAAATAACAATCAATGATTCCTGTGACTTTTTTGATATTCCTGGACCTACAAATATGAATGGGATCAAGTTATCAACTCTGTAATATTGAAGACCACATGCTTGGAGTAAAGAATAATCAAAATAGAGAACCTTCTTCAGGACTTTATGATGTGACCTAGGTAGGACCAGCATGCCAGGAACAAACTCATAAACTGTCTAGCTACTCCATACAGTCAATAATCCAAGTTTATCATTATTATTATTGGTGGTGGTCTTGATTATTTAATTGATCAGGTTAGCACCCCACCTTGATAAGAATGTTGCAAGGTGGTACTTAGTGGTGCTCGGAGGTAAAGTATATCGCCTCACGTCACATTTAATCTACACATCTTTTGCTAAACCTAGAAAAGAGCACGAGTGTCCTACAACTTGCCATAAATTCATCAGAAGTCAGTTGCTCACTCTATTTGATTTAATGATACGTTAGTTATATCAATTATAGCTAATGTCGATCGAGTCAAGATTATCATTGGACACATTGAGGATGGCTCAGTGCCCTCATAGTAGCTCGCAGGGCAAGTACATAAAGTCCTGATACCAGCCAAATACTAATTCTGACTCCTAAAGCTTTGCGACCGCCATCTGAATCCCAAGTTGTCTATCGCGAAGAGTGTACGCAATGTTTTGACTCTGTGGTTCGTCGCTTGTTCCCTTCTTGGCACCTTCAGCCAGGGCTAATCTTACTCAAGGATGAGGAGACTGGCCTAAATGTATGCCTCTTTTGTTTCAACGGCGGCTGTACAGGAGATCGAAACCATGGCTTGCTTCATTACAAGCGCTTTTGCCATCCTTTAGCACTGAACGTCAAGAGGTCGCGAAAGAAGATACAGGTGCGTTGAGGGCCATACCTACTCGCAATGCGTACAATGCTCGGTGTCATGGTAACATAAGATAATAGCGTGGCGAACCTCCACAGAAAATCTCAAAGCTCGCGATTGCTGCAGAGACGGATGAAGATCGCTACGACACAGCAATACGTGTCATTTGCTATGAGTGCCGCTTGGATGACATCGATGCATCCAGTGGCAACCTTGCAGTCGTGGTAGATGGAGTAATGAAGGCCATGACCTTCTCTAAGAGAGAAGAGATTAAAGCCTGGGAGCAAGAGTTCGTCCCATGCGAGCATACGCTTTGCTTAGTGCAACAAACCCCTAAGCAGACTGAGTCTCAAGGTATGATTGTCCTCGCGGGTCCGATTCTCGGCTAACCAAGGTACGCAGAGCTGAGTCAGTGCACGATGTGTACTTTGAAGGAGAACCTTTGGCTTTGTTTGGAATGTGGTAACCTTGGTTGCGGACGCAGTCAGTTCGGGGGATTGGGAGGAAATTCACACGCGCTTGCGCATTCTGACTCAACTTCACATGCGGTT